ACGTTGCAGAAATTTGATTGGATGGCATTTAATTACTGCCATGCTGCCTTGAAAAAAAAACAAAAACATAAATAAATAATTTAATAAATGATTAAATAAATAAGTAATTCTTTAAAATAAATAATTGGCAAAAAAATTGTATGCAGCATTTAAGTTCAAATAGGTTTGTAGAAAGTGAATCAGACAATTTTTAATTTAATTTTTTTTTTTTTTTTTTGGATAAAGCTGGGAAAACCCACCTGTTATTTGGGTTTATTTTTATCATATTTAAAAGAAAAATGAATTGTTGTTCACAGGTGAGCGGGCACCTACACTGTGTGTTGAGTGTGATCACTACGATATGTTAATCGTACAATTTACCTTCCCAGATGGGTGCACACCAGGGGCTCGCCTGAGGTCCATCACCTGGTAGTTAAATGCTAATCATGATTATAAATAAACTCTACACATACAATACCAACACACACACACACACATTCTGACTCTGTAATTGCAGCATCTGTCCATCTTGCTAAGTAGAGGAGCCTCAGACACATGGACAGACCTCCACTCTTCAGAGTACAACAGTTCCCCATGGTCAGGATCTGGTATCTCTGGTTGGGCTTTAAACTCCTGTGCTTCTCTGTATAAAGACATCTATTTCAATCACTCGGTTTCCAGCGCCATCTCCGCAAACCTTCTTTGCTCCCCCGCCCTGTGTGTGTCGTACCGCCGTGCCTTATTGGCAGCTGCACTAGGAGCAGCATCAGCGTTCTTCCTCGCCTTGCCCCGTAAATGAAACTCTAGGGAGTCTGGATCTTTCTTGAGCCTAGTTTAATTGGTCCGTAGTCCACTGTAGTGTGTTTTTTTTTTCCACTTTTGCAGGATGCTGTGAGTGATTGTGTGTGGCTTCGGTAAATCCCGTGACCTTGACTGACCTTTGAGCTTCTAGTAATTTAAATTCTATTCTATAAACAACCTCGTCTTGGTTATTGATGTAACAATAAAAAAAATGTCATGGCTATTCAATTTTATGTTAAAAGAAAAGAAGGTGGTCTAAAAAAGGATCACTAGAATTAGCTGAATGCAGGACTGTCCTTTTAATGAAAAATAGAACGGTGAACACGTTTTACATGACAAACTTGCGGGCACGCACACTAGTCAACAAGAGGGTCAGAAATGGTATTGTTACTGTGCCTTTTCAATCAATTACTCTTGCAGTGATATTCTACTATTGTATTGTTGTAATTATTAGAACATTGTTGGGGAAGTCTGTATCAAACAAGTAGCTCTTCATTTTACTAAGTGCCCTTGAAGTAGCTCTCTCCTTTGAACTTTAGTGTAGTGCGGCGATTTCAAACCCCAGTTGTGCTGTTTCTGATGAATTATCGGCATCTCTCATGCTCAGGTGCAGATTCCTCAAGTCTATTTTTTTTTTTTTTTTGCTAAAAAATGTTGAAAAAAATTCCAAATACCTACACTTTTTTCTGTGTCAAAAATAATGTTTGTCTATTTGATCTGGATAGTTTATTTACATTTTACTTTTTTTTTTAAGTCAATACAAAATCCTGGGATATGTTGCCATCGGTTTGCATCAGTCCCTGCTTACTTTTAAATCACTGTGACTTTTGTTGGTGTCCGTGAATCAACAGCAGTAGTTGCTAAGTTGTCTTCATTTTAGATCAGATGGCCTTCCTAGCTCAACCAACCATGGATTTGGCGACTTGGTGGTATGGAATCTGCTGCATCATTCTTACCCCCACTTACTTTTTAAAAGCCCCTGATATTTCTCTCCTATTCTAACAAATGGCTCCGTGAAGCTCTACACCTCCATCAGGGTTCTAGCTCACATTTAAGAATGTTCCAAATTCACTTCCAGCTGTGTCATATGATGATACCATATTTCTTTGGATGTCATATTGACCTAATGTAAACACTGGACACATCGTTACCTCTTTCACCTTTCAGCCAAGTTTTGGACTCTACAACTACTTCTTTTCTCATCAGTCACTATCCCAGTAGATGCTGATACTTTTTTTTTCTCTTCGAATGAAAAAGCAATGGCAGCTTCTGTTGTTTCATTATTGTTATATAAACAGCAAACTTACAAGGAACTGATTTTTATCTTATCATATTGTACAGCATTGGCAAAATCAGTGCATAAGCCTTTGTTAATATGGCCCTGTGTCCAGCATTTATCACCATAGCAACGGTTATGTTTGTAGGAGACTCTGTTTTTCCGGTTGTAACCTTTTGACCTTCCAGAAGTTTCCTTCCTGTTATGCATATCACCTTTTTGCTTCCTTTTAAGATAAACATTTCAATTAGTTTGTGTTTGTCATTGTAAAAGTTGTCTACAGGAGAGTGATGTTCAGTTCCACTGCTGTTTTGTTTTTTTACTTTAGAAATAATATTGACATTAACGACCGCATGGCCTTGACAGAGAGTGATACTTTTATACCTTTATATTTTATTATTTTAGCAGATACTTTATCCAAATAGATATGGTGGCACAGTGGTTAGAATAGCTGCCTTCCAATCTATCTATACATCTATCCAACCAGCCAGCCATCCATCTGTCTATCTATCTGTCAATCCATCCATCCATCCATCCATCCATCCATCCATTTATCTATCAATCTATAACATCCATCCATCCATCCATTTATCTATCATCTATCATCCATCTATTTCTATCATCTATCATCCACCATCTATCATCTATCATCTGTCATCCATCTATTTCTATCATCTATCATCTATCCATCTATCCATCTATCCAGCCAGCCATCCATCTGTCTATCTATCTGTCCATCCATCCATCCATCCATTTATCTATCAATCTATAAATCTATCCCTCTATCATCTATCATCTATCATCCATCTATTTCTATCATCTATCATCTATCCATCTATCCATCTATCCAGCCAGCCATCCATCTGTCTATCTATCTGTCCATCCATCCATCCATCCATTTATCTATCAATCTATAAATCTATCCATCTATCATCTATCATCTATCATCCATCTATTTCTATCATCTATCATCTATCCATCTATCCATCTATCCATCCATCCATCTATCCATATCAAATAAAATGTTACTAAGAAAATGTCTTACTGTCGTGTATATCAAAACTATTATTTTGGAAGAAAATTCTAAATTGACATATCATTTCTTATACCTTTTTTAAGCTTGTTTTATTTGAAAAACATTACTGTTAAAAATATTAAACAAAGGCAAAATGTGAAAACACAGAGGACGTCGATTGAATTTCTTTTAAGAAAAAAATATCAAAGTAACACAAGTTTGTAGATAAAATCAGTATAAAAATCATAAAGTATAAAACCATCCGAGATTCTAAGAGAACTATTTCTTTCGTCTATTGTTTTATCGTTGACTTCCTCTGCCCTCCAAAAGCATTACAGTGGACTTGCATCACATGCCCTCACTAGTTCTAGCCTTCTTTCTCTCCACTTTTATTGTTGCTCTGTGTAACTGCACATATCCCACTAAAATATAACAAGTCTCTGGCTTCGCTTGTATCATCCTCTGTTTGATTTCTTTGTTTTATTTTGGATATGTCCATAATTTTGTTTGCTACTCTCAGGCCAAATGACTCGTCAGTGTCCCCTGCTGCCCTGGGGTTTGTATCAGCCTGGCAAAAAGTAACATTTTACCTGGACCCCCTTTTTATTTGTGTTGCTCCAGACTCTTCTAACCTTTACCTGCTGCCCTGGGGTTTGTATCAGCCTAGCAAAAAGTAATATTTTACCTGGACCCCCCTTTTTTTTTCTCACAAAAACCGTCTTTGTTATCACAGTGTTGTTGTTAAATGTATCTTAAAATTTTTAATAAGCAATATTGCCTCTTAAACAGAATTCCACTGTGATTTAGAAAATAAGATTTTTTTAACAATTACCTTAATATACTGTCTTTATTTTTGAATGCCACAGCATTTCTTTCATTAATTGAAACTTAGAATTCCCAGGTTTAAGACTCACTAAAAAGCATGAATTACCAACCTCTATCAAAGTAAAATAAAACTGAACCAACATGCAGTCTTTTCAGTTTTCAAATTAGCTTTAAAATGGCGTCATGTTTGAAGACCAGGTGGCTTTAAATTATATCTACAGTGTGTGTAACATTTGTTGGTTCAATAACAATTACTGTACATCAAAATCCCCAGGACTAAAAACTAATATCCTCTGCAAAAAATGTGAATTGTAATTTTTCAAACAGAGGCACAAACTGTATAAAAAATGAACCTATTCCATCTGCTGCACTGCCCTCCCCTGTAGCCCTGCTATGACTCTTTCAGAGCCCCGACTTGCTGACCACTGATGGAAAGCACACATTTGAAGAAAGCACTAGTAAATGGTGCTTTTTTGGGTGGCTCTGTGCAAGTTTACGGCTGCATTTCTGAAATTGTGTTTGAATATTTGGTTGTGGATGGATTTGGATTTGTTTGTCATTGTTTCAGAGTGGTTTCATTTGACTCTGCAGCATACGATCCCTAAACTAATGTCAGTTTACAAGACCACTAGTAAAATAAAACCAATCAGATAGATAGAAATGGGAACTATGTTTTTCATTTCAATTCCACAGTGTTTTCTTGGTTCTCTCCTTCTCACCAACACTATCATCTAATGTCAATATGATTAGGCTCTGTCCATGAGTAGAAGGATATAAATAGCCCGTTTCTCACTTGTAAAATATGTTTATGTGCCTATGATAATAGTTCCTGCATCACCATATGCTGTTGTGTCACACTCCTTTCCATGGTATGGCTAAATGAAGGCACATTCACCTCAGACATTAGCAGCCTCGCAATAAACAACCAGGTCTCATACATTATGAAGAATTAAAAAATTTGGTTAGACTATTTTTTTGTTGTTGTTGTTGTGGCAAACATGCAGATTTTCTCCACTAGCTGTGTCACCGATGCATAAGCTTGTGTGTAGGTGTGGAACTATTTCCGCTGTGCTATTTGTGATTCTGATTCCCCACTTACTACAGGCAAAGGACCCGAGATCCTGTTCGCGGGGCAGAAGCTGAACGACAACGAGTGGCACATGGTGAAGGTGGTTCGAAGAGGGAAGAGCCTGCAGCTGTCTGTGGATAATGTCACAGTAGAAGGTTAGCGCTGGGACAGGGAATTTCATCATTGATTAGATGTGGAGGTGCAATAAAGTCAACATCACCAACTGTGTAAAACATTGACAAAATTCCAAATAAGAAAGCTGAATATGCAGCAATGTCTACAAACCCAGTAATTAAGACATAAAAATGATTTTCTTTTTAATAGATATTTATATATTTAAATATAAATATATGTATCTGTGTATATATAAATACAGTATGTATTGTGCTGCATACATATGTATTTGTTCTTTTTAAATATATGTTAAAATATATATATATTCCTTTTTAATATATATCTATATACAATATATTTCCCTGTAATATATGTAATATATATTTCTATATATTTAAAAATATATGTATGTGTGTATATATAAATACTTACAGTATATATTGTGTTGGATGCATAATATATTTTTTTAAATATTTATTAAAAAGAATATATATTCTTTTAATTTATATTTATATACAATATTTTTTCTTTTTAATATATGTATTATATATTTATATATATTTAATAATATATATGTATGTGTGTATATGTAAAAACTTACAGTATATATTGTGTTGGATGCATACATGGGTTGATGCTGAGAAACACTAAATAGCGAGAAAAGGATGAAAGGTCAAGAGACGTGTTGGCATTGCCGGTGTTGTGGCCCCAGGCGTAAAGATGTCAGAGCAAAGGATGAAGAAGGACGTGTGGAGAAGGTGTAAATTAGATAAGGAGAGAGAGAGAGAGGCCACATTCAGGCCAGAAGCAATGAATGACCCTGTGAAAATTCTGACTGGTTTAGAAACTGGTTTGGGGGAAAAAGGGAAAAGGCAAAAATACGCAGGGAGCGCTGCCAGGGCTGGTCCTGAATCAGCAGGAGAGACTTTTTAATAGGCAGCCTGCCAAGCTCATTCCTCAACATCTCATGGTAAACACTGTATGAATTTGGCCGTGTAGAAACAAGATTGCTTGGCATATGGTTCCCCCATAAGATCACTCAAAGAGAGTGGAAAAATACAAGAAAATCCCATTAATACCTTTGCTCTGTAACTTCTAGGTCTAAACCCTATTTCTTTTACAAGTAGATATAACATTCCCTGGTGTTTTATTTGATATGAAAGGCAATCTTTCACTGGTATTCTTTCATTTTTGCTCTTTCACCGAAATGTATTTCTGATTAAGGATAATGGTCTTAGGTCGACCCAATGCCCGGTGAAAACTTTTATTACATTTAGACACTTGTGTTTTATGTGTTAGTAATACACCTTTGGGTTTTTTAATCTGTGTTTTCCAATACTTCAGGTCAGATGACTGGTGCCCACACCCGTCTGGAATTCCACAACATTGAAACTGGCATCATGACCGAGCGCCGCTTCATATCCGTGGTGCCATCCAACTTCATTGGCCATCTCCAAGGCCTGACCTTCAACGGGTTGCCGTATCTCGACCAGTGCAAAAACGGCGACATATCTTACTGCGAGCTGAATGCCCGCTTTGGAATGCGCCACATCATTGCGGATCCGGTGACTTTTCGAACGAAAGGCAGCTACTTGGCGTTGGCCACGTTACAAGCTTACGCCTCCATGCACCTGTTCTTTCAGTTCAAAACCACAACACCTGACGGCTTGATGCTGTTCAACTCCGGAGACGGGAGTGACTTCATTGTTGTGGAACTGGTGAAGGGGTAAGTTTGAAAAGTCAAGCTTCTCTTTGTCCATTCAAACTTCTTACGTGCTGTCAAACCATTAGTCTTTAGCAGTGAATGTGCCTGGATAAGATGACATTTTCTAACATACTGTTCATGCGTCATAAACTGCATTATGTGACTCATCAGTGACAGATTAGGAGGAAATTCAGGGCACATTTACACCACCTCTTTCACGCCTTATGGTGTTAGCAGCCTGCTTGAATAACTGTTTTGGGGATGCTTAAAGGATGCACAAGGCCTTGACTTAGATAAAGAAACGTCAGAAGACAATTGTGTTGAGCTTTTGGCAAAAAGGCCGGTTCATCAATTAAACAGAGAAAATGAAAGGGAAAATTACTCCTTTTTATTAACTTTCTTTAACCAGGGAAACTCCATTGTGATTTTATTAACTTTCTTTAACCAGGGAAATTCCATTGCAATTTTTTTTCAATGGAGACGTGACCTAGAAAAAAAATTATAGGTGTCAGTTAAACAAAAAAAAAAAAAACCATTCAACTTACAGCTATTATGAAAAAATTAAGTAAATGTAATAGGAGTTGTGCCACTAGAGATCTTTAAAGTCCTGTAGAGAAAGTCAAATCCACTGTCTATTATACGCTGATGACTTTATTCATATTTTTTTAAATTGGATGGAACGCTTCGCATAAATGTTTTCAATGAGGTCACACAGCTTACACAAGCAAACAAATAACCATCAACGATAGACACGGATCAGTTTGGTCTCCAGCGTTGGACAAAATTGGAAATGAGCTCCTGATGGGTAGCTAAGTTCAGCAGTTTAGAGGTAAAGGTGAATTGGCAAATATTACATGGTTTATTTGTTGTTTTTGTAGAAAGAGATGTGTATCATCAAGAAATGGTGAAGCTGATAGAAAAAGCAAAAAGAAATATAAAGATTCATTGGTATGATAATGAGGAAAGGAAGCTAGTAGTCATTTGTCCAATTTCTCTACAAAGACTTATTCATCATGGTCCAACGCAACATTGGTTCTTCCCAAAAGTACAAATGTTGCTTCCAGGATCTTCTTCTTCTGAAGCTCTTTTCTCAATGTGAAAATGGATTAAAATGAAAACGTGTTCTAACTCCTTTAAAAACTATATATCTCTGAGCAAAACGCATTTCTTTGATCAACAAAGTATTTGGCGAAGTTAGTGTGACGACAGGAAAATGCTTACACAGGCCCAGAGTAATCTGCTTTGAATGGTATCACCTTAAATACTGTTCATAATTAAAGGATCAAACAGACAAAAACAGGCTTTTGCTTATTTATCTTCCTCCTTTCAAAGCCGTACAGTCAGCACTGTTTCAACACAAAAGGCTCAGCTTCTTCTGCTGTGTGTAGACAAAAAAAAATTAATAATAATCACAACAAAGTACTGAAATAATGGATCCCCCAATAGCCTCAACCCTAAACACAGGAAACACATTTCTGTGAAAGCGAGAGTGATGCTACCTCATCTGCCTGTAGGCAAACAGGGGATGATAGCAAAAAGGCTTTCTTTAAAATGTCAAAATAATGAGTGAATCACAGACGACTTGTGAGGCTACAAAACTGGTAATAATATTCCCCTCAATGAAGCCTCGTCGTTTTTAGAACAGCGCTGAAACCAAAAAGGGCGGCACATGGGGAGAGAAGAAAGTCATCAACACCTCAATCCCCTCATTTGCAACTTGGCGGCAGTCTATTGTGAAAAGCCAACGGTGCAGGTTAATGAAAAAAAACGGATCTTTGATGAAGTCTTTATTTGCCTTTTCTTCACAGTTTTGTCCACTACGTCTTTGATCTGGGCAATGGGCCTTCATTGATGAAGGGCAACTCAGACAAGCCACTTAACGACAACCAATGGCACAACGTTGTGGTTTCCCGGGATGCCAACAATGTGCATACGCTCAAGATCGACTCACGCACCGTGACGCAGCACTCCAATGGAGCCCGGAACCTGGACCTCAAAGGTAAGACTGGGCTGTACAGTGTGAGATACACGTCAGTGTTGCCAGATCTCATGAGAAAAAGTAAAGCAAACCAGTTGTACTATAGCAGAGCATAGACTTCTCAATATGGGGGGCGCACCCCTAGGGGTGGTACAGTGGCATTGCAGGGGGGACGCGGGTAGAATGAATGAATGTAACGCAGCATATTATCCAGTGCTGAAACCAGATTGGTTGAAGGCGTAGAATGCATATCTGATAATATTATTGGAAAGGAGGGTGTTATTTTTTTATTCTCGTGTGTCTTTTTTTGGGGGGGGGTGGTTTGGTTAGGGGTGCGAAACATTTTCTTATGAAAGAAGAGAAAGTTCGGGAACCACTGTACTATAGGTAGCTGACGGGAATGACCTAACCCAGGGTGTGTACAATAGAAAGAAATGACTTGACTCCATCACCTTTCATTAGATTTCCAAAACTGAAAAATTAGCACATTTCAGTTGGACCTCTGAAAATGATTGAGTTGCACAGCAAAACAAAAAAACCAAGGTCATCGTACTGATGACTTGTGGGCGTAACAGGAGTTCCTGACTTCATTCTCTATTAAACCTTGGCTTTCAGAACTTCTCCTTTCATTATTTTTGTCCTTCGTGTGGCTTTCCAGTGTTTTTTTGTCCTTCGTGTGGCTTACCAGTGTTGCTTGATACATCGAGGACCTTGTTTGCTATACGCTAACATGAACTGTTGCATCACCAATATAGCGTGACATTGTACTTCCATGTCAACTTAAATCTTACTTAAACATTGTTTTGTTGTTTTACACCTTCACTCTTAATATTATCTGACAAAAATTCAATTATGATTTTAACAAAACTTGACAGAAAATGTTATTTTTCATTAACTTTTCAAGGTTCTGACCACAACCACATGGCCTCTAACTGATAAATGTTGATGCATTTATTCAGCCTTTCATGCTAACATCCAAGAGAACATATAATTATTTCTTCTACATTTCTTTGGCATTGCTCATTCACCCACTGGTCCCACGAATCAGGTTAGCATTCATGGTTATCATGCTGTTGTTGCTGCATTTTCGGAGACAAATAGGAGTAAATCATATGAAGCTACACTTTCTTTCTCTTTTGGCGAGGCGAAACGAATGCAACAAAGTCATGAATATGTTAATATCAAAATTTGATCAACAACAACCAAGCCAAAAGTCACCTGTTATAAGCATAATTGGCAATAAAGATTATTATACAAACAGTTGCAGGTAATTAGATGATTATATTCATTCTGATATCCAAGTGTTTGTCATTGATACATACTGTAGAAAGAAATTATTAATTAGGCACCCCGATCTTGATACCTTGAAAACACTTCAGGTTTTGGTTTTGAGACAGACCAGACACAATGAGTGCAGGGGAAAAAGTAAGTCTACAGTTGACCAACACAATTGTCAAATGGATTGCGAGGGACCAGTAAAGGCACCTCTTTTTCTAAAAAGTAAAGATGAAGAACACTGTGTAGCAAAAATTTGATAGTTTAGCACATTTCCCCACCCTAATAATTTTATCATTTGGATTAATCACAAATAAAATGAAATACATCTAAATGCTGTTATTTATCTGTATGTTCCAGAACTATACAGGAAAAATGTGTCTTAAAATATGTGGCCTGCACTCATTAAAAAGTGTAAAAAAAAAAACTGAAGAAAAAACTCAAACAGCTCCTCATTTCTCTTCTGCTCTTTGTTCTTTGATTTAGCTTTAGCTCGCTTGTTCTCACCAAACTGTCTGTCTCACTGATAAACACTGTCACAGTGTTTACGCTACATTTTTCCAACTGAAGTAATGGCTTTCGATGGAGACACTTCTTTGGCTTTAAAGTGCAGGCCACCGTCGGTCATCTTGAAATAATAGCTGTTGTTAAAAGACACTCGTGCGGAAAAAAATATGTGGGCCCAAGTGACTGGGACTGAAAGGTTGGGTGGGACAAATTTGATCAACAACAACCAAGCCAAAAGTCACCTGTTATAAGCATAATTGGCAATAAAGATTATTATACAAACAGTTGCAGGTAATTAGATGATTATATTCATTCTGATATCCAAGTGTTTGTCATTGATACATACTGTAGAAAGAAATTATTAATTAGGCACCCCGATCTTGATACCTTGAAAACACTTCAGGTTTTGGTTTTGAGACAGACCAGACACAATGAGTGCAGGGGAAAAAGTAAGTCTACAGTTGACCAACACAATTGTCAAATGGATTGCGAGGGACCAGTAAAGGCACCTCTTTTTCTAAAAAGTAAAGATCCACTAACACTGTGTAGCAAAAATTTGATAGTTTAGCACATTTCCCCACCTTAATAATTCGTCTATATTTTTATTTTAAAGATAGGGGACAAAGGGATTCAAGTGTTTTAAAGAAGCTGCTGTGCTTGGTGCAGCGTGAAAACCCAATTATCAACCTGATTTCACACATTGCACGGTGAAGTGCAAATTGAGGACACTGTGCATACACTTAATTATCTTTCTGACACACACACTTTAGAGTATCAGTGTAATTACTGCATGAAATCAATGCATATTGTTGGTTTTTATAATAGCATAAAGCCAGTATCTGTAAGCACTACTATGAAAATTAAGTTTTTAAAAAAAAAAACGTTTCTTTAGATATCACATCGTCAGCATCAGTGACAGCTGTCGATCTTTCTGAAGTTGTGCTCTAAGTGTTGAATAATTACAGTACTTTTTATTATTCTCTCCATTGTTTGTTTACACATTTGAACTGTGTGGTTTCTAATCTCGGAGAAGCGCCTCAAAACTAATCCCCAAGCAAAAAATAAATAAATAAATAAATAAATCCACCGTCATTAGAGTGAAGACATTGTAAACATAATCTGCCATCCTATTATCGCAAAACAAGGAGTTTTTCTCCAAGCAAAACAAAAACCGTGAGTTTTCACTTCCGACTAGCCGACTAGATCCCACAGCTGCCCACAACCTGTGGGCCTGTTCGCATACATAAAATTACAGACATCCTATTGAGTGATGAGTTTTCTAAATGAAATGGAAGGCAGCAGTTCGCATGGAGAACAGTTGTTGCTGTATATAACATGGATTCACAGGAATTTAGTTGAGTAAACAACATTTATTTTTGTTTGAGCATATATTATTTGTATATATATATATATATAATAATGCTGTAGAACTCAACTTGACTCAGCTAAACCTGACTGTCAGTCAACCGCACACTGTACACGGTCGACTGAAATTCCAATGTGTACATACTCCAATGGCAACAAATTAGTCCAATTAACAGTTCATTTTAAAGTGCAGGTGCATAGTGATGGCTTGGGGCAGCAGGTTTTAAGGTGTGTGTGTGTGCGTGTGTGTGAGACTAGGCACCTCTAATAGCTTAGAGAAAGAAGCTACTCTCTTACATTAGTCTAGATTAGCGGTCCCAAACTTTTTTTGTACAAAGGACAGGACGGTATCAGCCGTTACTGCGATCCGGTAATACTGCACCATCTTTGAAGGGTCATTAAAATTTCAAAATAAAACATCTTTTAGACTTTATTCTGTTAGTATCAGAGTCTGAATGAACACTGTCAGATTATCTTTAAATGAAAAAAGTAAAGGGATATGACTGGATTCTTTTTGAATGAAGTACATTAGTAAAAAATGAGGTACATTTTGTCACTGTGTCCCACTGCGGCCAGATACACAATGACCAGCACCGGTTCCCAAGCCGGGTGCTCTAAGATGGATATGAAGTTTCATCCTATGATGAACTCAATACACTCAAAGTTAATCTTCCGTATGAATCAAGCCGTAATTGAAAGGTCAGAGGTCACAAGGGTGATTAAACATTGCAGCTCCAATGCCGAGCTAACGAGCAAAGAGCACGAGCAGGTTGTTTTCCTCCATGTTACAATGACACACACACAGAAAGGAATGATTAGTTTAAGTCACGTGCAAAGGCTTGTGACGAGCCAAGTTATCATAAAGAACTTTACAACAGCTTACTAACCAGCCTAACTAGGACCGTCAAAATGAATGTGCTAACTACAATTACTTTTTCCAGTTAATCAGAGAAATAGCATTGAGATGCAAACGCAGGATGAGATGCACTGTATATCCCAGGCATGGGCACACTTTTTGGCTCGTGGGCCACAATGGGTCCTAAAATTTGACAGGGGGAACGGGTCAGGAGCAGATAGATGGAGTGTTAAGATAAATGACATGTAAAATCATGCTAAAATGCTTTGAGTGTTTTTTTCTTTTTTTTTTTTACGCCATCCGTTGGGGACATGCAGGCATTGGTGGCCGAATTAAAAAGCCAAACGGACCACATCTGATCCCCGGGTAATAGTTTGCCCATGCCTAGTTTATCCAATAATCTCATCATCCATCAGCTCATCATTATCTTAATACACACCCACAATGTCACATCAATATTAATTGTGATTGATTTTAACTTTATCTGTCAATCAAACATTTTTTAACCCTAAACTTTATCGTGTAATTGTTGGGAGAATATGTTTAAAGATGATTTTCCATTCTCTAGTTTCCAACGGGGGGAAAAAAACCAGAAAGGTATCCCTGTCTCCCTTCAATTTTGTTCTACCCCCGTGTTACAATGACAATAAAGGCTATTCTATTCTATTTCTGTCTGTCAGGATAACTACAGTATGATGGGTAAGCAACATAAAACATGCTCAGTCCCTGAGGATACCACTCACTTGATCCAGTTTTGTATTGTGAGTGCATGAAGATAATTATGAACATATGGCATATAGGGAATACAGCTGTCGGCTCCGTTGGTAACTTGCACAACATTTTCCAAGCATTGAGTTCATTTCGTCAAGCAAGTCTGTATAACAGGGGAAAAAAACAACTTTTTTTTTTATCACTGTTTAAGGTAGAAAATCATCTTCAATTCGCAGCAAAAATCTGATAAAAAAGAAGATCATTACCGAACTGTCCATGGTGATTTTCTGAACTCCTGACTTTTCTC